TGAAAGCGGTGTTTATTAATTTTTAAATATTGTAATATATTCACAATTATTTAAGTTTTTTATAATGTGTCTTGAATAATTTCTTGTATGTATTTGTAATTGTATTAATCGATTAATAATTTTGTATGAAATAGAAACATTTTTCTATTCATACATTTGTATGTTGAAAAAAGCATACGTAAGAGACATGCAGTTTTTCATATTCACTTATGTTTAAATGTAAAAAAACACATTTTCTAATGCATCGAGAATTCGGTATTTTTAAATGTCCACTTATTGGTCATTTAAATTCTTTTCTCTTTAAATTTTATTATTCATTAAATAATTTAAATTGAAAAGTTTTGGTCGCGGATTATACATCGAATTTCATTTTTCCACACATGCCCTTTTCATCTAGTTTTTTGTTACAGAAAGTACTGTTTTTTCAAGCTCTAAGATTTAATATTGTAAAATACCATTTTATCAATGGTTATTTACAACAATGTCAGTCAACAAAAATTAAGGTAAAAGAATGATAGGAAGAGGTAAAAATATATTTTTTTTCATTAAAAACTGGAACGAAGAATTGGGATAAAAAGAAAAAAAGAAACCGAAGTTTCTGTATTTTTTTTTTTTTTATTCGTTAAAAATATTTTTCCGCGATTAATCTAAAAAATTAATTTTGTTTCAAGGTCATCGATATATTGGCAAGATTCGATTCGACTGTTTCTAGTTTGTGTTCTCATAGTAGTCGTGGTGTTGGTTTTTCTGTTTAAATGTATGAATGTATAAATGTATAAATGTATGTATGCGTGAACAAATTTTTAGTATTTGTTTAAGTTATTTTATGAATTTATTATCAAGACATTTTCATTGCTGGCTGCTGATTTTCATTGATTCTTGTTTAACTATAAATCTTTTGAGATTTTTTTTGTTCACAGATAGCAATATTGTTAATAGCATCTGAAGAGGATTAGTCGTAGATAGAATTATATATTAGATGATAAGATTATAAAAAAGATTATCAATGATAACATGAGTAATGTAACAAGAATTTTTTAAATTATTTTAATTTCACGAGTAATTAAAATATTTTTATCAGAATTAAAATAATATGAGGAGTATTTTTTATAACATTACGAATTCTTATTATTATTAAAATAATACTCGATGCACGTTTAGTGCACATTAAAATGCGTGCGTTCGTATTGTAAACACTTGCATGTTAAATTTAAGGTTTCAGTCGACGGTCAATCAAAATATTAATATTATAGCATTTGTTAAATAAAAACTTGCGCTTTATAATTGAAGTTTCAATCGAATCTATGTCAAAGCGTTTGCATGTTTGCGTTAATTTAGGAATGTAAATCGGGTAGGAAGGATCGATTTAAAACGATGTTCATAATTTTTCATCCAACTTTGAATAATAAGTAGGATGAAAAAATTAATGACTCGTTTTACGCGTTGCATTTTTCAAGTAAATTTCTTTCTAACAAATGACTATATATATATATATACATATAATGAAATAAATTTCTTAAAAAAATAAATGTAGAAGTAGAGTCTTAGCCCGGGGGTCTCCGGACACAGCAACCTCCTCGCGGTGAGATCTGGGTCGGTATTACTTGCGATCTAATTAAATCTAATAGTAAACTATGTAACGCAAGTACTACCGGGCGAATGGCTGTGCTAGATTCAATTTAAATTTATTTACATGTTTAATTATTATTCATTTTCTTTTGGTCCTTCTGACACATTGATTGTTTTGAAATAATTAAATGGTTTGTTAAAAAATGAAACGTATTGTGTATA